ACATCCCACATTTTATTAATTTTTAAGAGTTTGTACATAATCTCTGAAGAAATTTATGAATACAAATAAAATGATTTCTTATTTTTTGTATCATCTGAAAACCCGCAAATAATTTTATTCGATGATATATCAGATATCAAATTATCCATTGTTATGTCTAATATTCGATTATATACAATTGCTTTAGAGAACACGCATATGTCTAGTGTGTAACGACGTCACCAAAACATAACTCTCCATTAAGAGACAAAACGGTTACTCATTGGACCCGACACCCAGCAAGATCAACTATTGGAATCGATAACATTGGTTCACTCCAACGAACCGTAAATATATCATCTTACACTTTTAGAGAAAAATGCCAAAAAAAAAAAAAAGTTTTCAAATAAAATAAAAACTATAATCGAAAGGGGATGTGTTTGGTCTGCTGCCGATGTCATTTGAAACGAAATCAAACTTGACAATAAACCTGATGAATTGTTGGCACCAGTACATACTTTGTCGCAACCGTCGCCATCGTATAAAAGCTCGAAGAGGCAATCACCTATTCAATCGCCACGAATTGCCTATAATGATTTGGATACAAATTAAAAATTAAGGAGTACGGTCGATGTCGGACTGGACGCCTGTGAGTAAACATTATTGAGAAAAGTTGTTAATGTCTGAGACGAGGGTAACTGTTACATTGAGAACGAGAGATAAACGGTAAAATGTATGTTGTTTGATCTATATATGAAAAAAAGCATTACCCTATATACCAATATATTGTATATCAGATGGAAATGATAAACCAAATATATCTACACATTTTGGATCCACCTATTAGAAGTGTGTTGATAGTTGCAGCTTTGCATATTTTGTTTCAGAGAAATTATATACTTAATTAAAATAGGGATATATATGTATATTATTTTCTTTTTTGCTTTTTACCTTTTGTTAATATGTTGAGGCATATATTTCAAAAGCGGATTTCCCTAGATGAGCTATTTCAATTTGGAAAACGAACTATGTGCATGACAATTCGGTTTAGGTAAAACACCAACTTGCTCTCCTTGCACTTGTAAAACCCTAATTTAGAGAGTTGTAAACAGTAAACTTCAACGCCTACTTGGTTGGTGACACGTCAGAAAGGCCAAAAATTGGGTCCATTAGAATGTACCAGAATGGTACTTGCAAGATTTAACGTTTTAGTGCTCATAACTTGCTGAGCTGGATAGATACCCACTCATTTTAGGTTTTAGGGTTTGATTATGTCCCACAAGATTTATGGTATTAGATTAGGTTAATTTCGCATGCCGACATCAATATGCGCACAACATCATTCGTTTTTTATTTTTGTTATTAGATGAATAAACACAATGGTAAATTTTTTTTTTTTGAACTGAATGGTAAAATTACTCTACTCATCAAAGCATATTACAGAGTGAAAATTACGTGAAAATTTTTGAAATGAAAGGATTATCTATTCCTCACATGTTTATGTACGATATATATATTATATTTCATGGTGAATTTACAAAAGACTTTCTGTTTTATGTTCGTCACCCACAAATTTGATCAGACCCAATTCTCACGGTTACTTCTTTTGCTTTTTGTTTTTGGTTAAAATTTTCGACGCAATTTCTTTCGATAGAAACTAATCTATGAATCATATATATTTCTGATGAGGACACGAGAATCCGAGTAAACTTAGTCATGTTCATATCTGCAATCTAATATAGGTCATAGAAATGTTTTAACCGTTTACATAAAACACAGATACTTCGTAGGTATATTAAGTAGATGAACAGCAAAATCGATAGACGTGTAAGATTAGGCTTAGGTGGAA